TCTGGGAATATCTTAACTTCACCCTCAATTTTGAATGACAGTCTTGCTGGGTATAGTATCCTTGGCTGATAGTTAAATTCTTTCAAGATTCTGTATATGTCATCCCATTCCCTTCTTGCTTGCATAGTTTTAGAGGAGAAATCAGCACTTATTCTTAGTGGGATACCTTTATATTTGATATTTTGCTTTTTTTGAGCTGCTTTCAAAATTCTTTCTTTATCTTTAGTTTTGGAAAGCTTAATTATCATATGTCTTGGTGTTTTTCTCTTAGGATTGAACCAAGATGGGGTTCGTTGAGCTTCTTCAATTAAAATGTTGTCTTTCATGATATCTGGGAAGTTTTCTGCCATTATTTCTTCAAAAATTTTTTCTGGACTTCCTCTCATTCCCTCTGGAATTCCCATTATGCGTATATTGTTTCTCTTGATGGTGTCCTCCAAAACCATTATTTCCTGTTCAGCTTTCTTTGTTTTTTCCAAATATTCTTCGAAACGTGTAACATCAATTTTGTCTTCTATTTCACTAACTCTTTCTTCCATTGCCTCGACTCTACTTGCCTGTTCTTCTATAGTGTTGTTTATTTCTGTTATTTTATCATAAAGCTCTGGAATTTCTAACTGTTTCTTATGTAAGATTTCTACCTCTTTAATGAATTTTTCATTTTGTTCTTGTATTGTTTTCCTGAATTCTTCTAACAAGTTTCCCGTGTTTTCCTTTATTTCATTAAGAAAACTTAGTAATAGTTTTTTGACGTCTTTGTCAGGAATTTCATAGTGACATATGCCTACATTAAAAAAAGAAAGAAAGATCTCAAATCAATACCCTAATTCAACATCTTAAAAGAAGAGAAAAAGCCCCAAACTAAGAGAAAGAAAATAGTAAGGACTAGAGCAGAAATACTGTAAATGAAATACAGAATAGTAAAACAATGACCAGGACCAGTTGGTTCTTTTAAATAATGAATAAAATACACAAATCAGGGGTCAGATAGAAAAAAGGGATAACATGCAAATAATGAAAGAATGAAATTTTTAAACATCACAACAGATCCAAAAGGATTACAACATTACAAACAATTAACATTACAAGATCACAAAAGAACTTCATAAAATTTTACAACTTAGAAAAAACAAATTCATACAAACACATAAACTACTTAAAACTAACATAAATCCCACTGCTGTCAATTCTGACTCAAAATGATTCTGCACTGGTTTTCCAAGGCTATAATTCTATGTAGATGGAGACTGCTCATCTCTCTCATCAATTCAAATCTTTGGATTAGCAGTTTAGAAACTACACCAGAGCTCTTTAAATATTCAGAATAAGAAATCCAAATAGGGTCATGACATAAAAACAGACTGAATTTTTGATCACTTCTCTGAAAAGCACTAGACAGTTACTGGTGCTATCAAGTCAAGTATGACTCATAGTGACCATATGAACCTGTCCTATTCTGTGTCACTCTCATCATCTGAGACAGCTGAGCCCATTGCTGCTGTTAATGTGGACTTTTAGCAAACAGTAAAACAAGTAACACCATTCTAGTCCGTCTTCAAAATACAAAGAGGAGATAAAAAATTGTATGTAATCAGCATTTCCCCAGTACCAGTCAGATAAAGACATTAGAAGAATGACAGATTGATCATCTCTAATAAACATAAATGCAAAAATTCTCAACAGAATTCTAGTGAACAGAATTCAACAATGTATCAATTACACCAGACCAAAAAAGATTAATTCCAAGAATACAAGAGTGGTTATAAAACTGATGTAAAATATCTTATTAACCAAAGAAAAGAATTATGATCACTTGGAAAAAACAAAACAGTGAAAGGGAAAACTCAAACCTTTTCTTCATTATCTCCCCCTCTAAACTCAAAACAGGAATAAAAGGAAAAGTACTTAACATGATGAAACAGTACCCATCATCTTCCCTCACAGCCAGTATTACACTAAATGGAGAAGACTGAGACACTCAACCTTGGTTCCAAAGAATCAGAGATATTCACCATTACCACTCCTATTCAATATTTTACTGTTAAGTCTTAAGACAAAGCAATTAGAAAGGAGGAAGGAGGGGGAGAAGATAAAAAAGAGTATCCCATACATATACATAACATGGTCCTATAAGTTGAAAACTTCAATTCTGCAAAAAAATAACAGGTAATGAACAAATTCAACCATACTAGAAGGTGTAAAGGTAATAAAGTATTTGGGCTCATTGGTTTTAAAGAACAGGGTCATGGTTTCAATGCCTGAATGAGTCTAGAAGACATTAAACTGAATGAAATATGACGATCACAGAAGGATAAATATTATACAAACTCGCATTTATGCCACTAAACCACAAGGGATAAAGACAAATTTATAAAGGTTATGCTGAGAAATTTCACAACATACTCCTCTTCCCTAACACACACAGACAAGCTATCACTTGTCCTTGATTCAGTTCCCACTCCTAACACCTTCTTTCAAAACGTTTCTAAGGTTGTCATCTTTACAGGAAGGGACAGCCCATCTTTCTCCCTCAGAATTGCTGTTTAGATTCAAATGCCAATCTTTGGGCTTAGCAACCAACGTTCTGTGCTTATACCACCAGCGCTCCTTACAAAGACAGATGCAATACATGACTATCAGCTATTCTAATTAAGGTCACAATAAAATAAAAACTCAAATTCCATAAAAGTCCAGATTTACTGGATCAATTAAGAGTAGAGGATTCCTAAGATTATCATCCTGAGATAATTCTTTAAAGCTGCCTGCTCAATTTACCTTCTAGCAAAATGTCGATAATTCTTCTAAAGCTAAGGTAAGAAGTGGCCAGGAAACTACAGCACTGACAAAAGAACCACCAGAATACCATGCAAGTGTAGGTGGAGTAAAGAAGTCTGGCAGGGAGGGGAACAGTGACACTACCAATTACTAAGTACAGTCTAACTGAACTTACTAACTAGAAGGGACTACTTTTAGTGGCACTAAAGATTGGTATTAATGCCAATCAACATGATACATAAAAACTGCTGACTAGTAATCAGTTAAATATATAAATGAGTGTGTGTACATGTAAAAACCATCTCTGAACTTGTACAGTTCCTGAAAAATATCTCAGGAATAGGGCTGTCAAATTTTAATCCCATATATAAAATCATTTATTAGCTGTTGCCGTGTATCATAGAGTTGGTACCGATCCATAGCTGACCGTCCAGTGGGTTTTCAGAGGCAGTTAACTGTATGGGAGGAGACTGCCCATACTTCTACTGTGGCCTCAAACTGTATGCCTTTGGGATTGCAGTGCAGCTTCTTGCCACTAGAGCTCCCTAATTTATTAATATAGTGTATAATTAATATAAGTATTGTTGCTGTGTGCCTTTGAATCTATTTATTTATTTATTTTCTTATTTTTGTGTGTGTACCGTCAAATCGGATCTGACTGGTACTGGAGGAGATTGTCCCTCCTTCCCCAGCAGAGTATCTGGTGGATTTGAACCATGCACCTCTGGCATTGCAATGCAGCTTCTTGCCACTAGGCCACCAGAGCTCCCCTGTGCCTTTGAATCTTGAGAGTGATCTCACTGAGACAAAGTAGGGTTTCCTAGGCCAAATTTGTAACTAGTCTTTTTTCCCTGTGAAATCTAGGTTTGAAGCACAAACCTTTCAGTTAGCAACTGAGCTCTTAATCATTGTGTCCAGGGTTCCTTGTTAAGGAGTATCAGATGCTGTATACTTGGTCTCTGATATGAATTATTAGAAGAATGTAGAAAAAAGGTTAAGAATCTGCCTTGTAGCATGAATGATTAGGAAAGGTTTAATATTATTTATCCTAACAGAAGACAATACTACCTGGAATTAGTTATTTCCATTACTTGCTGTCTCATGAACATGAACTTAATAAGGGATGGATCTTTTCTGTCATGCTCATCACTCTAGCCCTGGTACACAGAAAAGAGTTGGGCATATATTTATTGAATGAATGAGTGAATGAACAAGAGTGCTGACGCACACACCACTACTTGTCTGTCAGTTTGCTGTTATGGTAGCTTGTATGCCGTTATGTTGTTGTAAACTATGCCATCACTATCAGTATCTCGAATATGAGCAAGGTCACTCCCAGTGGACAGGTTTCAGCATAATTTCCAGATTAAGACACAAAACTACTCTTCCACTTCTGAAATAAAAGGCCCTTAAAACAGTGTAACATTGTCCTGCACTGGCAAAAGGTGAGCTGCTCAGGTTGGAAGACATTCAAAATACTAAAGACTTACTAAACACAGTGGAGATTCTGAGGATGGTACAGGATCAGGCATGGTTTAGATCTATTAGTGGGAGTTAACTGAACAGCACCTAACACAAATGACATAAGCACAGAGAATGAAGAAGTTGAATTGAAACAGAGAGAGGTGGCAGAGAGACAGGGAATCCTAAGAGCTCCTCTTTACAGGTACCTACTGTTTCCACATTAGGACAGAGGTTCAGAGCCACTCAGAATTGGCACAGAAAGATTGGTGGTTCTAGCCCAGAAAAGGCTTAGAGGGTTTGAACAAATAGAGGAAGAAACAAGAGGTAATAGGCAAATAGGAGGGAAAAAGATATTCTATAGAAATGCTATTCCTACAGCCCAGATAATCTTCACCTTCTAACAATTATCTACAGAAGGGATCTTATTAGGTCTTAATGACAGTTCTTGAAGATAGAAAAGACCAGCTAACCAAGTGGTCGATCAAATGGAACTTCTATTCATGGCAGGCAGTTAAGAGGTTCTGAAGCTTTATGTACAAGAACCCCCAAAATAGCATTTGGTCTCTTATTCAGAGCTATATCTTAAAAATAAAGATCCCACAACCTCAATGACCAGATTACAAAATCCTGCCAGAATACTCAGATACATTGTTGAGACTCTTAACTGTACCCAAGTTTGCTATTAACTGTTTCACTTGGCATGGTCTTAGTTTTAGAAATAAGTTTTGGAACATATTTTGAAAGTATAATTCCTAAGTTACCTGAAACATTAGGCTTGTTTTTCACTGGAGAATAAACAGAAAACATCCACTGTCCTGATGATTCCCAAACCTCCATATCTTTTATAGTTCCTTCTCTGGGAGGGGAAAAAAAAGAACAAAAGATCTTTTTCATCTGCTTGTTACAGTTTATGATTCTCATGACTAACATTTTAAACTCTAGTTAATACAGAATTTCAGATTTTTCTTCTATTTTCTGAAGACTATGCCTTTAAAATAGCACATAAAATGGATTTTCTATTCATTGACATAAATATTACCATGTCAGAGCATTTTATAATTTTGGTTTCATAATACATAAAACTATTAGCTTATATATTAGGTGACAACAAAGTACCATAGATTTTTCAAAGACATAAAACACACAATAATTACTTTAGAATTATACAACTATAAAAATAAAGAAGAAATGATTTTGCCTAATTCTCACTTTGCTATAGGGAAAACAAGCCCGTGTCGTTACAGCTAATTTGCTGACAAAGTCATGGGAAGAATCAAATGTAAATTAAATGTTTTCCCCTGTACAGAATCCTTGAATGATAGCAGTTAGAAAGAATACTGTTATTATACTCAGAATTGTAACAAATATAGGATGGAGGGCTTGGTTTGTTATTGTTCAGATTGTCAGCAATCTTGGAGTTACAAATAACCAGTGTCCAAGCAATTCCTACTTGCCCTATTGCAGGGTAGCCTCAAACTGGTTCTGCCATGGTCAATGAAATAAACAGGAACAGATCTGAACTTTTTATAATTCAGGTGATTTGTAGTAATAAGCAGAATGGAGACAAATTAATAGTCAAAGCCCTGAAATGAAAGTGTTGGAGGGCAGTAAGTCCTTTCAAGTGTCCTGGATGTTTGAGATTGGATTATTAGCAGGACCGTGGAAAGCCAAAGACATTCAAAGTATCTGACTGCCACTGTCGTGGAAAACACTGAATCAAACCTTACTCTACTGGAAACAAAGTTTTCATCACAATCATCTTAAAATTAAAAAACAAACAAAACAAAACAAAAACCACCAATGTTTTTAAATGAAAAAGCTTTGAGCTTTTTTCTTGCACTAAAAACCTACTGCTGCTATGATTCCAATTTATAGCAATCCCATAGGACAGAGCAGAACTACCCAGAGGATTTCTCAAGCTATACTTCTTTACAAGGCAAAGAGACACATCTTTCCGCCAAGGAGTGGCTGGTGGGTTTGAACTACTGCTCTGTTGGTTAGCTTACAACAATAATTGCTTCAAGGTTTCTTTCTTACAATAATGTAATGTTAAGTAAGAACTGTATCTTCTTATTCCAACTAAACTACAAATTCTTAAAGAGACAGGAACAGATCTTGTCCTAAAATGAGAAATAGCTATACTACTAAATGTCACTGACATTTTCAAAAAAAGATAATGTAAATGACCTCTAAGATATGTGAATATAAAAAACTAATGTGACTATTTGATAAATTATTTAAATCACTTTAAATTAGTTCATATTCGTAAAGAACTCATCATTTATAACAAATGTAACCAAAACTAGCATTAGAAAGTCAGTGACTCTTGAATTATGAGATCCTGATGTGATTATTTTTTTTTAAATATGTAACTTTACTTACGAAAACACCTGTAGTTTGGAAAAATGAGCATTGAATGTTAATTTTTCCCAAGCCTTTCACTTACATAAGTTTCTTTTCATCTTTCTGCTCATCAGAGTTAAGTGAAGTAAGTGAGCTCTGAGATAATCTCAAATCTCCACTGCTGCTAGATGAAGTTCCAGAACCAAGAGTGCTGCCTGATGGAGTCACTTGATCTCTGCTGCCCCCTAATGGCGGAGACTTGGAGAAACTGGATGGCTGGATCACACTGGAGGATCTCTGATTACCGTCATTCCACCGTCTGGTACTACCTAACAAGAAAGAAAACTTGACTGTGAACTGTTTCAAAGATAAGATTTTAAAATTTCATTTCTTAACTTTACTATGCATTTTAAATTGTAGGTATATTGTAAAGCATAACATATTACAGTGTTGGAACTGCTCCTATCTCTATGAATGAAAATAAAATTCTAATGCACACACACACACACACACACACACACACACACACATCTTATGTGTCCATCTGTTGAGTAATACTGAGTATCAGGTGCTGTCATAGAAACCCTGCATATAACCCTATGTACAAGATCAGAACCTTGCCCAATCCTGTACCATCCCTCACAATCTGCTCAAGCTAATTGTTGCACTCACTGTATACTTACTGTTGTGGGAGGGTTTTCCTCTCCTCCCACCTTCCCAAGCATGTCATCCCTTTGGCAACATTGTCCAAAGTATGGAGAGGCAATCTCACCGTCCTTTCCTCTAAGCAGCAGAATGGCTGCTCTTTTTCCAACAGAATTAGTCTGTTCCTTCAGTTCATTACCCATATTCAGTACTCTTCACCAACAATTCAAAAAGTATCAGTTCTTTTCAGGTCTTCCTTTTTTCACTTTCATATACATATAAAGCAACTGAAAACATCAATCCTTAGACTAGATCTCACTGTCATCAAGAACCAACTCACAGCTGACCCTCCAGCAAACTTTCTGAGGTTCTAACTCCCATGGAAGAGATTGCTCATCTTTATTCCATTGAGCGACTGGTAGATGCTGAACCACTTTGGGTCAGCAGTACAATGGCCTCCAGAACTCCTCTGGGGTTTTGTTAGATGTCTCTTGAGTTAAGTGACTTCATAGGGACCCTATGAACAGATAGGAATCATGTACTATTCCTGTGCCATACTATCTCAACCATGGACAGAAGGCTAACACAGAGACTGGTCAGTTCTGACAGCAATGAGATTTAAATTGGCATAAAACAAAGGTCTCACCACCAACACGAAGGAAGAAGCCGATGTAACACGGAGAACATGCCTAACTGGCAGAGGTCTGGTCGATATGAAAACATCCCCATTAGCTGTATGACAAGGTGGATGGGCATTAAAGGCAAAAATCTAACTTCCACTGAAAGACAAATCAGTACTATGACACTTCTGTCACAAGTAACTGAAACTTTGAAAAGTCCTTCCTTTGGTTTGCTAGAAAACTAACTGGAGACCCTAATTGGAGTCTGGCATCATGTCTACGTTTGCCCAGATGCTTAGCTCTCATTTTTATAGGCAAGTGTCCTATGAATTGTTTGTTACCTTATTATCCAGCTAAGCAGGAGGTACTAATCTTTGAGATGCTCTTATTGAGATAAATAGTCTCCAGAGGGAGTGTGGCAGTTCAAAAAGTTGGCAAAGGACAAGGGTCAGAAAAAGAGCCCTGCCTACAAGCATGCCTGAGAGGCTGTCCTGACTGGAATACCGCTTCTACATAGGAACTGAAACTTGTTAGTGTTCTAATTCCTGTGTGACCATTCCAATGAACTACTACTGAACCTAGATTAGAAGTGGCTAGAGTTGTGGGAAGGAAGCTCAATGTCACAACTGTTCAAACTGTGGAGTTTGAGTTGCATATCTAACGTCATTGGAATCAGGTTTGTGTTGCTATACTCTTGATAGCTATTATTTCGCCCTTGTGTTAGCTAAGTAAGATTCTGTCATCCGCAGTTGTTTTAACAACTAAAACCGAAAGACGATCTCTGGTGGTGTAGTCTGTAGAGAGCTGAGCTATGCGACTCCAATAGTTCAAATCCACCTGTGGCTTAAACAGTAAAAGATGAGTAGTTTTCCTCTATGGCTTTGGAAACTCCACAGGAGAGGTCAATATGAGTCAGAACCTACTGGACGGACTGCGTTGAGTTAGTGAGCAAACTAAAAAGGCCGGGGTCCAATCAGAAATACCTCAGAAGGCCTGAAGGGAGCGCTGGTGGCCTAGTGGCAAGAAGCTACACTACACTCCCAGAGGTACCCGTTTCGAATCCACCGGATGGTCTGCTGGAGGAGGGACAATCTCCTCCTGTACCAGTCAGATCCGATTTGATGGTGCGCACGCGCACACACACCATTTTTTAAAAAAGAAGGCCTGGAAACCTACTTCTGAAAAATCAGCCACTGAACACCACAGAGCAGTTTTCTCTGAGTCAGAGTCAAGTCAACAGCAACAAAAGGAAAAAAGACCAAAGATACTGAATAGGAAGTCCTGTCTGTAGTGGGATTGCCAACTCTAAAGACAGGTGGTTAGAATCTACCCGCTACTCTGCAGGGGAAAAGATACTCTGCCCCCTGTATCCTTGAAAATCTAATAAGGGAGCTCGACTGCGTCAGAAGTCAGAACCAACTCCAATGCAATGAATTTAGTTTGGTTTAAGGACACAGTATCTTTCACGTGCATTTTGGGTGTTTTTAGAACACTTATTTCTTTGAGAAATGTATATTTAAGTCCTCTGTCCATTAAAAATAAAAAAAGGTTATCACAATTACCACCTGATTTATCATCAATTACCAAGATCAAAGTAACTAATTTTGCTTCTCACTGAATGAGGGCATATGGCATTAAAAATATTAATTATCGAAGTGACGGAACACTCATGTTAGAAAAGTTGATCGGATAACCTTAGTAAAATAAAAGATTGCTTGAACAAGTCTCAAGTAGGATTTAAGGGTATCTTATTTTTGGTTTGGACTATTTCATTAGGTATTTGTGAATGATGTAAAACGGTTGTACGTCAAGAAGTGGAGGGATTAGCCATAAATCTCAATACAAAACGCGGATTAAGGACTAGATGAACTTTAGTTAAGGCAAGGGTGACACACCCGGGGTACCATCTTTAAAGGTTAAATTAAAAGAAAACGAAACCTAACTATTCCTGTGCCCATTAAAGCCAGAGTTGTGAAGGGGTTTCAAATACAATTTCTTTTATTTCCGTATCATCTACAATTACTCTAAAGTAATACTCCAAACTCTCCAAAGTGCACTAAAAGGGATTCCAATATGCCCCTTGGTTTTAACAATGCGTTTCACTCTCCAAATTCCATCCTCAGAGACTCAGTGGGCACTGCTGCGGAATCAGAACTAAGAGGTTGCATAAAATGCGCAGCAAGATATTACCCCACCCTCGCCGAGCGACAGGTGGATTCGAACCACCAGAGGTGTGCACACGCCTTTCTGCGAGCAGCATTGCTCTACGACTGCGCCGCCGGGGATCTCTAAATACGTGCCATTTTCTTCAATCTGGCTCTACGGCTGTTAGCACATTTTCCAAAAAGTTGACGACTTCACCAAAATCCTGATTCGGGCCAAGCCTGTCAGCCTCTGCTTGTAAGTGATAATTCTATTAAAAAGTATATAAAATGCAGCAAGGAAAATGTGCAACGATGAAGGAATAATAAAAAAAAGTACCAAGGAAAATCAACAAGGTGTCTAGAGCCCGCTCGGAACCGGCTCACAGCGGACCCTCCGGCGAGTTTTCAGAAGCAGTTATTCGGAAGGGAGGAGAGTTTTCAGAAGCAGTTAATCGCAAGGGAGGAGACTGCCCATCCTTCTCGCGCGGAGCGGCTGGTACAGAACCGTGTGCCTTTGAGACTGCAGCACTGCTTCTTACCACTAGACCATCAGAGGTCCCTGAAACTACTGGAAAATATCTTTGATTGATGTGAACAGTCAACGCCAAATATCTTCTCATTTGCTTTGTAAACACTATGTAACATGCAAAAACTGGCAAAGGCAAACGCCCCGACGCGACCACGTGCACTGGGTCACCGGACCAGTGGGCCGGAACACTACACCGACACCCGCACACTCCGGCGTCAGACCCCGCGGGTTGCCTGCTCCCCGGCCGCTCGCTTCCCCTCCCGCTGTCCCTCCCCAACTGTAGGTCCAGCTCCGGCCCGGAAAACCGCAAAGATTTTAGGGGTGCTTCACCTGAGGCCTGCTGCTGAGGTTGCTTCCGCGCCCCGCCTGCACTCCCGGCACGAGGATGCTCATTCCAGCACCGATCTCCAAAGCGGCACCGGCCTTGAAGGAAGAACTGACAAATGGCCATGGCGACGACTCGCCACAGAGCGATCTTCACTCCGCACGCCGAACAACGGTCTGGAGCAACTAAAGGCGCACAAACCGGTTTGCGTGACGTCAACTTTCCGCGCCGGAGAGAGGCTGTCCCGCCCTCTACTTTAAGTGGCGTGGATTTTACCCAATAGGATTAGAAGAGAGCGTGACTCCCTGGGGCTTTGGAAGGCGCGACGCTTGAAAATTAATCGGAGGAAAAATAAGGCACGTCTGGCCTTTCGCAAGAGCTTGCGACTTGGAGCCAGAAGATCCGCTGTACCCTAAAAGGAGAACTAGTAGTGACTTAAAAGACCAAATTGTTCTTTTCACTTATAACTGCTGTTAAAAATAATAAAATCTCACAGAAACTTAAACAGGTTTATTCCTGAACATGAGATTTGTTCTTTAGATACACAAGAACACCCATTTGGAGTCCAGAAAAAAGAGAATGGCACGAAGAATATCGGTATAACAAACAAAGTTTACAAAGAGGAAAGAAGGGAGGATTAAAGATCATCTTCTGACTAATTTTATCGTGATTTATTCAACACTTGGCACCACCAGTCTCAGGCACCACAACCTTTCGCACCTATAGTTGCTAGTAATTTGGCCTGCAGCCCTGGGGCTTTTTGAGATTTAAATTAAGAGGTAAATAGTTTGATGGTTAACTTTTTGTAAGAGGATAAGACAAATTTACATGGCTATAGAGCAGTCTCTGGCTAGTTTTGCAGGCTGAGGATTGTACAGTGAGAAAACGAAAGTCAAAACAAGATTTCCATTGTTCATTTTCTTCTTCCATACTGCCAAGGTAAAATTCCCTCAGACTGAGGAAGTAAAAATCTCCTGCAGTTTGGAATGTAGTAAAAAAAACCTCTTCAGCAGCTCGGGAATTTTAAGAGTAATGTCAACAGGAAAAGAGCCCAAGTAGAGCCTAAGTCCTCAGCTGCTAAAAGAAAAGTCGGAGGTTGGTACCCAAACCGAACTTGGTGATCTGCATCCATAATATACTTATAAATTAATTGATGGCACTTAACAAAAGTTAATAGGAAACGATTGATCTATCTATCTATTTTTAGGACGAACTGCAGCTGAAAATAGCTCAACTTCCTTTCTTTGAAGTGATGATCACTGTCAAAGATAGAAACTGGATCCCTTTCTGGTAGTACATGAGCGGGATGATTGGGTGTTCATGCTTTTTTATTTGTGCCTCTCTTAACATTGTTACTATGTCGGCACATTTCCCATCTGACGGGGGAGGGAGAGGAAGAGAAACTGATAATACTTCATTCAAAACTAAACCTTGACTTTCGAGAAATCCTTGACTAAATTAATCCAGCAACAGCAATTTTTCTTTACCTGTGTTAGAGTTTAATTTATGAAGCACTCTTGTTAGATATTGGTCCCAAGAAATAACAGGCCTTTATTGCGCCGTCTGAAAGGGACACCAAGTGACCCGGCTGCACAGCACGTGGACAGGATCGAAATGGCGGGCGGGCAGTCTGGGGGGGGGGGGGAAGTCCTTATAAGGGTTCTGGGGAGGACTAAAATGGTATTTCTCAAGATTTGGTGTGTTAATTAAGTTAGGTTTTAGCTATTTTGATCAGGCTCAGACCCTTATCAGGATCCATTGTCTGCTCTGGTCTTTGATATGATCAGCTTTGATATAATCAGGTTTCTCAGGAAATGATCAAGCTTGGGGGTGGGGGAGGGGCAACAGCCATATTCAACCTTCAGCTTTGCTGAGGTTTATGCCTCAAAAAGGAAAGCCTCTCAAGGTTCACATCCCTCGTTGTTGTTAGGTTCCATTGAGTTGAGGATGACTCCTAGCCACCCTGTTGTTGCAGGATTTCGATCTGTCCAGAGACTCCAGGAGAAGGAACAATTCTACAAGCTCTTTTTTTTTTTTCCAGAAGAGTTCACTAAGTTTAATTCAGAAATTTACTTTTTTCTTTTAATTGCCACAATTTTTTGGATGAGGAAAGATCTTGGGCTCATTACCTTTCAAAATAATCACCTGTCTATTTTTCCAGTGTGTACACACGCAAAATTGTTAATTGTCACTGAATTGTTTGTCCCTGACACCTGACAGTACTGTATATAATGTATATAATGCTGGATCTGTACCACTCCTGTGACCAGTTGCAGATCTAACAATGCTTTGTTGTGATCCATAGGGTTTTCATTGGCTAATTTTTTTTAATTGTTTAATTTTATTAATTTCAGTGAACATTTACAGAGATTTTGGGTTTCCACCCAGCTACAAGCTCTTTTGTTAAAGCAAGGAAGACTGTTTTTCCCTGGGGAGCACTGACATAGATAGACCACAGCCTCTCAAAGGTCAGGCTCTCGGAGGGTAAAATGTCCTTTCTTTATAGGCTTATAAGGCATTTGTTGGTAGTCTCTTTTCTATTGGCTAGTTTTTACATGTAATTAATGATATTGTTCCATAATTTCCACACTCCGTTGGGTCACCTGTCTTTGGAAAGGGAACAAATATAGATCTCTTCCTGTCAGTTAATTAATATCACATGTAAGCAAGATGAAGAAGAGATTGAGATTGTTAATAGCTTTAGTTTGGTTGGCTTCACAATCAACACTCTTGGTACCAGCAGCCAGGAAATTAAAAGACAAATTCCATTGGGGAATTTCACTGTCAGAAAACCTCTCCAAAGTACTGAAGAACAATGATGTCAGTCTGGAGATTAAGGTGTACCTGATTCAAGCCATGGTCTTTACAATTTGTATGCCTCAGAAAGCTGGACAATGACTAGGTATGATAGAAGGAGAACTGATGCCTTTGAGCTATGGTGTTGGAGAAGAGTATTGAATGTACCATGGAAACTAGGAGAACAAACAGATTTGTCCTAGAGAGGATGAAACCAGGCTGTTCCTTGGAGACAAAGATTCTGAAGCTTTCTCTGACATATTTTGAACATGTTGCAAGGAGGGACCAGTCCTTGGAGAGGGACATCATGCTTGGAAGGGTGGAGGAACAGCACAAGAGAGGAAGACCCTCGATTAAATGGATTGGTTCAGTGACTGAGATAATGGGGGTAGGTGTGTCAGAGGCAATAAGACTGGCACAGGATAGAGCAAGGTTTAGGGCTGTTGCACATAGGGTCACTATGAGTCGCAAGTGACTCAAAGGCACATAACAAGTTTTTGGTGGGATTTGGGGTTTTGATGGGGCTTTTTTAACAACAGTTTTTACATACATTGTGTGATTGTTCTTCTTTGTCATCCCTATTCATTGCCAAGCTCTTAGAGACATAGCAAGTGATTGAAAGGACCATGGCCTGAATCAGATGTACCTTCGTACTTAAGCTGACATCATCATGCCTCAATAATTTGGAGAGATCCCAAACTGCAGACTTTTTAGTGCAATAATACATCTCCTGATTTCCTGACTATTGGTACCAAGGATGCTAATTTTCAAACCAAAGAAGACAAAGTTGTTAACATTTCAATCTTTTCTCCATCTACCATGATGCTGACTATTGGTCCAGTGGTATGAACCTTTGTTTTCTTGACATTGAGATGTAATCCATAATGAAGGCTGTATTCTTTGTTCTGCAACAAGAGCTTCAAGTCCTCCTCACGTTCAGCAAGCAAGGTTGGTGTCATCTGCATAATGCAGGTTACTAGAGAGTCTTCCTTCAATTCTGATACCACATTCCTCTTCATAGAGTCCAGCTTCTTAAATAATTTGCTCAGCATACAGGTTGAATAGGTATGGAGAGAAAATACAGCTCTGACTCACACTCTTAATTTTAAACCACGAATTGTTTCATAGCTTTGTTCACACAACAGTCTCTTGGTCTAGGTATAGAGTTTGCATGAACACCATTAAGTGCTCTGGTATTCCCATTCTCAATGTAAGCCACAACTTGTCTTGATCCACATAATCAAATGCCTTTGCATAGTCAGTAAAGCTTAAGTAGCCTTTCTTCTGGTATTTACTTTCAGCCAGGATCCATCTGACATCAACAATGATATCTCTGGTGCCACAGCCTCTTCTAAATCCTGCTTGAACTTCTGTCAGTTCTCTATCTATTAATGAATAAGGAAGACAGAAGAAGAATTGACACCTTTGAGATATGGGATTGGGAAAAAGCACTGAACAACCCATGGACTGCCAAAAAAATAAACAAACATGTCTTGGAGAGAGTGCAGCCTGAGTGCTCTTTGGAGGCAAAGATGATGAGGCTTCACCTGATACACTTTGGGCATGTTGCTACAAGGTGTTATGCCTTGTAGAGGGACATGATGCTCGATGCTTGGAAAGGTCAGTGAAGAAGAGGAAGACCCTTGGCCATGTAGATTGACATGGTGACTGCCTCAGTGGGCTTTAATGTGTTAGGAAGTGTGAGGATGGTATAGGATTAGACAGGGTTCAGATATGTTTTTCGTAAGGTTACTATGGGTCACACATGACTTGACAGTACCTGACAACAACTTGATTGGTTGGTTAAGCATATCTAGCAAAGAGGATATAACTTAATTAGGTACACAGGGAGAAAGAGCATAGGTTAGCTAAAATTCCCTCATTTGATTACTGGGGAGCCAATCCCTAGCGGCTCGAAGGGTTTTCTGTTAATTATTGCTGCACTTACCTCTCTCTTATATGGTTAAAGCTGTTTACTAGCTGCTGCTCCTGGGGGTTGAGCCTGCTAAACAGGTTTTCTGGTTTTGCTTTGCTAATGTCTTTTTGGGGACTGGGTCTGCCTCACTGTGAACCCTGTCCTATCCTGTGTCATCCTCATTATTTCTGAAATACCATAGCCCATTGCATTAGTTACTGTGCCAAGCCATCTCCTTTCTTTTGCTGACCACCTTTTCAAGCATGATGTTCCTCTCCAAGGAATAAACTCTCCTAAAAACATGCCCAAAGAACGTGAGATAAAGCTTTGTTATCTTTACCTCAAGGGACCATTCTGGCTGTATTTTTTCCAAGACACATCTGTCTGTTCTTTGTGTAGTTCATGGGATTGTCAG